TTGACCAATCTTCATTCAGAATTACTTTCATTAAATCATTAGTTGATATTAAATTGTATGTGTTATGCATATTTCTTAGGTGTAAATCATCTACTTCATGATTTTGCTTTATATAAGTGTCCATGTAATATCTCTACAATAATCGTTTGTTCAAGGCACAGAGTTGGAAAAAGTTATGAAGTCCAGGAAATATGTCGGGTTGTCGAAATAATCAGTATATGCCACAAGACATATAGATTTAGTTCATTTGCTTCATGTTTCTTATTGGCAACTTCACTAGGCACTGACCACATGCTGGGCTCTCTACCCTCGCTCACAGGTCAGTGGTTGATAGAGACAGACACATACAAATCAGGATACACATAAGACATGCTGTATTGGGGTGGTAAACCATATCTATATGACTTGAATATTAATAATAATTAGGATTCTCAGGGTAAACAAGGTGTAAAATGTATTCCAGACAGAGGTCATTGCATACAAGGGCAGAAGAGGCTTGGTTCTGTAGAAACTCTAGTGGATTTTGAAAAGGAGGAGGACAGGAAACACCCTTGCTAAATAGATCTGAATAAGATTCTTTCTTTTTTTTTTAATTTTTAAATATTGTTTATTTTTATTTTTATTTCCATTTATTTTATTGCATTTTATGTTTTGGGGTACATGTGAAGAACATGCAAGATTGTTGCATAGGTACACACGTGGCAGTGTGATTTGCTGCCTTCCTCCCCATCACCTACATCTGGCATCTCTCCCCTTGCTATCTCTCCCCAACTCCCCACCCCACATCGTCCCTCCCCTATTTCCCCCCAACTGACCCGAGTGTGTAGTGCTCCCCTCCCTGTGTCCATGTGTTCTCATTGTTCAATACCCGCCTATGAGTGAGAACATGCACTGTTTGATTTTCTGCTCTTGTGTCAGTTTGCTGAGAATGATGGCTTCCAGGTTCATCCATGTCCCTACAAAGGACACAAACTCATCGTTTTTGATGGCTGCACATAATATTGCATGGTGTATAGGTGCCACATTTTCCCTGTCCAGTCTATCGTCGATGGGCATTTGGGTTGGTTCCAGGTCTTTGCTATTGTAAACAGTGCTGCAATTAACATCGTGTGCATGTGTCCTTATAGTAGAACAATTTATAATCCTTTGGATATATACCCAGTAATGGGATTGCTGGGTCAAATGGAATTTCTATTTCTAGGTCCTTGAGGAAGTGCCACACTGTCTTCCACAATGGTTGAACTAGTTTACGCTCCCACCAACAGTGTAAAAGTGTTCCTATTTCTCCACATCCTCTCTAGCATCTGTTGTCTCCAGATTTTTTAATGATCGCCATTCTAACTGGTGTGAGATGGTATCTCAATGTAGTTTTGATTTGCATTTCTCTGATGACCAGTGATGATGAGCATTTTTTCATATGTTTGTTGGCCTCATGTATGACTTCTTTTGTAAAGTATCTGTTTATATCCTTTGCCCACTTTTGAATGGGCTTGTTAGTTTTTTTCTTGTAAATATGTTTTAGTTCTTTGTAAATTCTGGATATCAGCCCTTTGTCAGATGGGTAAACTGCAAAAATTTTTTCCCATTCTATTGGTTGCCGATTCACTCTAATGACTGTTTCTTTTGCTGTGCAGAAGCTGTGGAGTTTGATTAGGTCCCATTTGTCTATTTTGGCTTTTGTTGCCAATGCTTTTGGTGTTTTGGTCATGAAGTCCTTGCCTACACCTATGTCCAGAATGGTTTTGCCTAGATTTTCTTCTAGGGTTTTTCTGGTGTTAGATCTTATGTTTAAGTCTTTAATCCATCTGGAGTTAATTTTAGTGTAAGGTGTCAGGAAGGGGTCCAGTTTCTGCTGTCTGCACGTGGTGCACATGGCTAGCCAGTTTTCCCAACACCATTTATTAAACAGGGAATCCTTTCCCCATTGCTTGCTTTTGTCTGGTTTGTCAAAGATCAGATGGTTGTAGATATGTTGTGTTGCCTCCAAGACCTCTGTTCTGTTCCATTGGTCTATATCTCTGTTTTGGTACCAGTACCATGCTGTTTTGATTTCTGTAGCCTTGTAGTATAGTTTGAAGTCTGGTAGTGTGATGCCTCCCACTTTGTTCTTTTTGCTTAGAATTGACTTGGCTATGCAGGCTCTCTTTTGGTTCCATATGAAGTTTAAGGTGGTTTCTTTTTCCAGTTCTGTGAAGAAGGTCATTGGTAGCTTGATGGGGATAGCATTGAATCTGTAAATTACTTTGGGCAGTATGGCCATTTTCACGATATTGATTCTTCCTAACCATGAACATGGAATGTTTCTCCATCTGTTTGTGTCCTCTCTTATTTTGTTGAGCAGTGGCTTGTAGTTCTCCTTGATTCTTTCTACACAGGCACTTCATGCTCAGAACATGTAGAGAGCACACCTTTGCTTTGGAAAAATGTGTTTGTTAGTCATAAAAATGAACAAAGTGTTGAGAGTGAAAAGACATTTTGAGGGTAGAAGAAACTAGACTGTGATTGACTGGATGTGAGGAGAGAGAAGCGGAAGATTGTACCTGGATATCTGATATGGGCTTTAAAAGATGTTAAGGCTTTCAGCTGAGATGAGGCATCAGTTAAATTGGTGCAAGTTTGGAGTAGGAATATCATGATTTTCTTTGTATTACATATAACATTAGAGATGATGACAGGATATCTAGATGGAGGTGTGAGAGTACTTACCCCATTATATTGTACTTTTTATATTGTGCATGTCTTACCTGTGTGTTATGAGCTCAGTAAGGAAGAGGCTCTTTCTTTCTTCATTTTTTAGTCTATACTTTCTTTTAATATCTTAGCATTTTGTAAAAGCTCAAAAATATTGTAGGGTGAACAAATCAGGATGAGATAGGTAAATGAACAAATAGTTGGAATACAAGCAAACAACTATATGAAGTGGGCAAAAGCCCAAGACTTATATAAGGGATTCAGCAGAGATGTCTTTTAGCATAGGAACCTAATATTCCTCCGTAAAATATCTATTCTTTGGAAGATGCACACTTCACAAAGAAAAATTCTACTGGCCCCAACAAAAGCAAGACATTACTGCCTTCATTTTTCAATTTTATACATACTAAAGTAATTTGAGAAACTATACCTTCATTGAAAATACATTTTATTTTGATAATATTTAATTCTATTGTTTCAAATTTTATCCAGCTATCCATTTCAATTTTATTTCACAGATGGCTGACTTAAGTGTTTTTCTTAGCTAAATGTGAAGGTAACCATATCCCACATTAAGTAAACATACTCATATTTCAGAATTACATATTGTTTGTCCTCCCAGTACTTTCAATGAGATAAGTAAAGATAAGTCCCTACCTTAGGAATAACTTTTTGAGAATATAATTAATACCTATATATAAAAACAATTTAAATCATCATAGACATGCCATTAATAATTATTAGTTAAATCAGTATCTAGATCTTAAACTATACAATAAAAATAACCATATCTACCTAGTCAATTAATATTTACTTGATATTTTTTCTATGCTAGGAGTTGTACAAGATACTTAGAATACCAAATTCTTTCTAAGTGTTTTACAGGGTACTGAAACATCTCTCAAATTCAGTGTGTTTAGGCATGACCTGGAAGTGTTAGTTAAAGATGGGAGGCCTCCGGTCTCACCTCCAGAGATCTTAGTTCCATAGGGCTGGGTAGACTCTTAGAATTTTGCACTTATAAGATGTCATTTTTAGTTCGGGGGCTTTAATAAAGGGAAAGAATTATTTTCTGAAGTAACTCTACAATGCATTTCAGCTAGGAAATTTGTTAAATCTGGTAACCGTTTGGTCTACATTGCTGGGGTCATAATAAGAAAGCAGAATCTTTTAATGTTTACTGGAAAAGTGCCACCTTTCTTAAGAAGTAAAAGTTGTTCTTTCACTGTTGCAGGTAGTTATTGTTATGTTTGTAAAAGTAGATTATTGGGTTTTGTTGCATAACATGTAAATTACTTCACGTGTATATTACTTAACATGTAAATGATTTAGTCATTTCTATGACCATTCATTTTCCATTTAAAAAGTATAGAAATTATAAGGTAAATACTCCAAAAATTATTTTTTTTAATTTCTACTTTCTGAACCATGTAGCACTATGAAGATTTGGTCTTACCTTTGTAGTCATTAAAATAAATGGGCTAATAAACAGTAAAGTCACTTTATAAGGCACTAAAAAAAAGTACCCCAAATCATGAAAATCTGTCTACCTAGGTAAGATATAAGAATAAATAGAAAATGTGACAGTGGTCCAGTGAGGCTCTCTAGAAGAGTAATTAGACTATTCTATCTGTGTATGTATTAAGATTCAAAAATTAAAAGCAGCATTTCCTTTTCTAATTTAAATATGTTAAACCTTAGTGCAAAACCTCATATTCAGAAAAATATTTTTTAAGCCTTGAATTTTGTTATTACCAAATATTCAAAGCAAGTGGCTGCTACTTGGAAATGAAATAATTATCAAATGTAAAGAAGAAAAGGTGGAGAAATGAACATGTTATTTGAATAGTTGACTGCTATGTAAGTTAGAACAGAGTAGTATATACCCTTTTGAATCCTGGGATTTAAATTCAGGTAATAGGTTAGGAAAATTTTTGAATCTTAAAGGTAGAGTACTCTGTAGTGGCAATTTATAAGTAACACTAGGAATGAAAAACTTGCCCAAGATTATGTATCTTGTTAACAGTAAATTTTTAGAAGCTTTACAGTACCTCTGTCTACAGTTATCTCAAAATAAATTAGAAGAAAATTATCTAAAGGATCCGAATACTAAACCAGTGATTCTTGATAATTAAGGAAAAACTATGCTCTCTACTTACATTCAAAGTACAAGACAATTGAGTGGTCTCTTTATTTTGTAGTTTGCTGTTTTCATCATCACTGCCTTGGATGAACCTCTTAATTGATTACCTTTTCAATTTAATGATTAGGGTTGTTAGTAAATAACTGGACATACTGCTTTTTTGCAGCTGGATGAAGAAGCCCCGATGTGGTGTACCTGACCAGACAAGAGGTAGCTCCAAATTTCATATTCGTCGAAAGCGATATGCATTAACAGGACAGAAGTGGCAGCACAAGCACATCACTTACAGGTATAAGAACTCATGACTAATCTCCCCTTTTCCCCATTTTTCGTTACTATTTGCTTTGATACATAGTTTAGTATCTTCTGCACATTGACTACATGTTTATATAGAGAGATGTAAGTTAATGTAAGAGACTTAAAATTACAATTGAGAGGAGAGTAATTGTTCATTAGCTACCACATAGATAGTCTTTGAAACACTTGGGCTCTTTTGTAAACTATTCCAGCTTCTTGAATAAGTGCCAATATTATGAGTGACTTTAAGATGAATGTTCTAACATATTACATTCTTTGACAAATATTTATAATCTCTAAAATAATCAAATAATAAAATATATAAATAACTGCCATTTAAACAAAATGTTGAATTTATCAATCAGTGTTTAATATCAGTCTAACCATTTTGCTTTTAATCTTCTTCTTAATTATGCAAGTGGTTTTATCTTCAATAACAGAAGGTGTTTTCCAACCTAGAGTGACAATTGTTACTAATAGATCATCACATTTATTCATTTTTTAATTGAACAACTGCTTATTGAGTCCCAGCATGAGCAAAGAACAATGCTAGGGCCTGGAGATGTAGCAACAAATAATACATGAGGATCCTATTTGTCCTTATGGAATTTACAGTCATCAGAAGTTGAACAGTCATGTAAGTGTGACGCTTGTTATAAAAAGTAAGGACAGGGTGCAAGAGAAATGTAAACCAGGTGATCCAACCCATTCTAGAATACGAGATGAGATCACCCTAAAGAAATAACTTTTCAACTAAAACACACAGGAAGAGAAAGAACTTGTTAAACCAATGGGCAGGAGAAGAGGAAAGGTACTTTGGTGAGAGGGTAGAATATCAGGAATCATCTCTTTCAGATTATATGAATAAAAAAGATAATTTTATAATCTTTATTCTTCATTTAAATAACCCTTTGTATATGATTAAAGATAAAATTAAAGCCTCGATATATTGGTTTTCTACCAATATAACTGGAACATGTCACTTGAACTTATTTTGGTTATTTTGGAAACACCTTTTTTCTTTTTTTGGAGACAGAGTCTCACTTCATCACCCAGATTGGAGTACAGTGGCCCAATTTCAGCTTACTGCAACTTCCACTTCCCAGATTCAAGCGATTCTCCTGCCTCAGCCTCCCTAGTAGCTGGGATTACAGGCATGCACCACCATGCCTGGCCAACTTTTGTATTTTTAGTAGACACAGGATTTCCCCATATTAGCCAGGCTGGTATCAAAGTCCTAACCTCAAATGATCTGTCCTCCTCAGCCTCCCAAAGTGCCGAGATCACAGGCATGAGCTACCGCGCCTGGTCTGGGAACACATTTTTTATCTTATTTTATATTCTTATGCTAGCTTCTCACACAACATGCTCCTAGATTATTGTCTTATACTACTTACTTTAATTATTTCTGCAGATAAGAAAAATCAAAGATGAAGCAGCTTTAGGTCAAGCCCATGAAGGTGGTAGTCACCATCATTTAAATTTGCTCACAAGATTTTTTTACTTCACGTATGTTTTATCATCTCTGTGATCTACATTTCTAAAACAGAGTTAAGGAAATATTATACCAATAAGTTCACATGGAATACATTTGATATTTTCCCAATAACTATAATATTTATGTATCCTGTCTAGTGACCTTTTTACTGTAAGTGAAATTAGTGGTGACATAGTGCTTTCTGAGAGGAAAGCATGATTTATTTTTTTTTTTTTTGAGGCAGGTCTGTCACTCAGGCCGTGGTATAGTGGTGTGATCCTGGCTCATTAGAAACTCTGCCTCCCAGGCTCAGGGGATCCTCCTGCCTCAGCCCCCTGAGTATCTGGAATTATAGGTACACACCACCAGCTAATTTTTTCCTTTTTTTTTTTTTTTTTTTTTGAGATAGGGTTTTTTTTTTTTTTTTCTTTTTTTTTTTTTTTGACGGAGTTTCGCTCTCGTTACCCAGGCTCACCGCACCCTCCGCCCCCCGGGTTCAGGCAATTCTCCTGCCTCAGCCTCCTGAGTCGCTGGGATTACAAGCACGCACCACCATGCCCAGCTAATTTTTTGTATTTTTAGTAGAGACGGGGTTTCACCATGTTGACCAGGGTGGTCTCTATCTCTTGACCTCGTGATCCGCCCGCCTCGGCTCCCACAGTGCTGGGATTACAGGCTTGAGCCACCGCGCCCGGCCGAGATAGGGTTTTATCATCATGTTGCCCAGCCTGGTCTCGAACTTCTGGGCTTAAGTGATCCTCCTGATTCAGCCTCCCGAAGTATGGAGATTATAGGAGTGAGTCACCACACTCAGCTCAGGGATACATCTTGAAAAGCATTTGTAGACTTTGATGAAGAATAATAGATTATTTTTCTGGTCACATGGTAGAGTAGAAAGCCTAAAATATACTGTCAGTTAGGGTAAAACTTGGATGAGTTATATTAGATTTTTAAAACTAAGACATACCTTAAAAGCATTGTTGAGGTGAAACAAAGGGAAGAAACCTAAAAACCAGAAGTAGAGGGAAATTAAGAAATTTAGGAGGCATATGAGCATGTAGGTCAAGTAGAGAGATGTTGAACTTCTGTCTTAGCAGAAATATAGAGTATTAAATGAGAAAATTCATCTGATTAATAGATACAGAAAAGTGGCCAAGGAAATTTACCATCTATTTTTGATAAGTAGGAATCAAAGCAAAGGAGTACATTTTGTTACACAGAAAAATGGCATCTATGAAAATAAATACTACATTTTTGTTATATAGTTCACATATAATTAATGTAAAATGTTGGAAAAATCTTTAAGGAAAAACAAATGTCTGCTACCTCTCCTCTATTCAGAAACTACTTATAGAGGTAAAGAAAGAAAAGGAAATAAAAGATATAAGATTTGAAAAGATTTTTATATCAAATTTGATTTGTTTATTGTTAGCATATAGAAAAGCAATTGACTTTTGTATATTAACCTTGTATCCTGAAACTTTACTATAATTGCTTATTGGCCTAGAATATTTTTTGTTGCTAATTCTTTGTACTTTAGAAGTAGAGGATGATGTAATCTGTAAACAAAGACAGTTGTATATACTTTTTCTTCCTAATCTGCCTCTTTTCTTTTCTTTTTTTGTTGCATTACATTAGCTAGTGTTTCCAGTATAGTGTTGAATACGAGCGGTAAGAATGGACCTCATTGGCTTTTCTGATCTTAAGAGAAATAAGAATAGTTCTTCAACCTCAAGTGTGTTCTAAACTGTAGATTATTTATTAGATGTTGTTCATCAAGTAGAGGAAGTCCCCCTCTATTCCTAGTTTGCTAAATGTATATTTTATGAATGGGTGTTGGATTTTGACAAATTCTTTTTCTGCATGTGTTGATATGATGATACGAATTTTCTTCTTTTGCCTTTTGATGTGAAATATTACATAGATAGAATTTCAAATCTTGAATCAGCCTTGCATAGGTGGCATAAATCTAAATTTGACATAATGTATAATTCTTTCTATAGATTGTTGTACTTGGTTTGCAGACTTTTTTGAGGATTTTTACATCTGTTCATGAATCTTATTGATCCATAGTTCTTATTTTTTATAGTATCTTTATCTGGTTTTGATATCAAATAGAGGGATATTGGAAGTCTCCCACTATAATAGTATTTTATGCATTTTTCTCTTGCAGTTCTATCAATTTTTGTAACATATATTTTTTTGCTATGTTGTTAGGTCCTTGCACATTATGTTTTGTCATATCTTCTTGGAAAGTTGAGACCTTTATCATTGTGTAATGACTTTTTATTCCAGATAATTTTCATTGCTATGAAATATGCTTTATCTTAAATTAATATGGATAACCTAGTTTTTTTTTTAGTGTGTGTAAAGATAATATATCTTTCTCTATACCTTTGCTTTTAATTTATCTCTGTTCTCATATTTAAGGCAGGTTTCTTGCAGGAAATATCTAGTGGGACTTGCTTTTTGCTTTTGTTTCATTTTGCTTTTTTGAAATCTATGCGATTTTTATTGGCATATTTAATATTGACTTTTTTTTTTTTTTTTTTTTGAGACACGATTTTGCTGGTTGCCTAGGCTGGAGTGCAATGGTGTGATCTCAGCTTACTGCAACCTCCACCTCCCGGATTCGAGTGATTCGCCTACCTCAGCCTCCCGAGTAGCTGGTATTACAGGCATGCACCATCGTGCCCAGTAAATTTTGTATTTTTAGTAGAGACTGGGTTTCTCCACATTGGTCAGGCTGGTCTCAAACTCCCAACCTCAGGTGATCCGCCTGTCTCGGGTTCCCAAATTGCTGAGATTATAGGAATGAGCCACCCCCCAGCCTAGTATTCAAATTTAAAGTGACTATTGATGTAGTTGGATTAATACCTATAATAGTTGTAATTGTTTGCTATTGCTATTTTTTTTTAATGTTTGTTTTTGTCTTCCCCTCTTTCAGTGCCTTCTCTGGTTTTGGTTGACCATTTTACATGTTTTCATTTTCTCTTAGCATGTCAATTATCCTCCTTTTTATAGTTATTTTAGTGGTGACCCTGGGGCTTGCAATATATATGTGCAAGTAATCTAAGTCTGCTTTCACATAACACTATACTACTTCACAGGTATTACGGGTATGTCATAACAGTTTCCAATTTAATTCTTCTGTCCCTTATAATATTCTCATCATTCCTTTTATTTATCCATGTGCTGTAATAACCCAGTACATTATTTCTGTTATTATTTTGAACAGCTATTGTTAGATCAATTAAAGATGAGAATAATAAAATATTTTATTTTACCCTTGTTTATTTCTTCCCTGGTAATCTTTTTTAAAGAGATAGGCATTTCTGATGAATGTCATTTTTCTTCTTTCTGAAGAAATTCTGTTACATTTGTTTTTTTGCAAGGCAATTTTATGGACAAGAAGTGTTTTTAGTTTTTATTTGTCTGAGAAGTCATTTTTTCACTCCACATTTGACTGGATACAGAATTCTAGGTTCATGGTTTTATTATTTGAACACTTAATA